TGCAGCTGACCAGTATTTTTTTCAGCTAGAGAATTATACAGTTGTATGATGGCTTTTTTCAGACAGGATGCAAAAGTTTTGGGATCCAAGAACAATTTGCCTGATGGGATGGAGGTCTCAATCAGCTTTTGATTTCCAGCCTTGCCACCGCTTTATTCTATAACCGTGGGCCAGGTTGGTTTCCTCTTCTAGCCCTCATGTTCCCTTATTTCTAAAGCAAAGGTGTAACTGTGGCTCTTTTTTATGTTTTCTTTTGAAGCACTTTATGGAACAACAACAACAAAAATATTGCCTTGTATTAAAAACTAATGATTACAAGTAAAATTGGTGCATGCTACTGTGTAAGACATTGCTTTTTCTGAAGAGCTTAAGTCTCAATGTATAAAACAGAACTGGGAGTATCATTGTCCCTACTTGACCTGTCAGAAACAGAGACCAGCTGCAGTGAATTCTCCAGAATCACCCAGGGTGTCACCAGCTGGTAGCTGGCCCTGAGTTGCTGCAGCCTTTGCCTTAGTGCAAAGCAGCCCCTTCCCCTTCCTGTCATTCCTCCCTGCACAAACATCCTGCTCAGGGCTCTGGCCACCTGACACAACCCCAAACCACCCTCATGTGCATCGTGGAGTTTTTGCTGTCTCCCAGTCTGCATTTGCCTGCCTACAGAGCTGGGATATGTGGTACGGGGATGCTGCCCCAGAGTTGGGGCAGAGGCTGGTTCCTATTTGGGAGCCTTGTAAATCAGACAGGTGGCAGTAACAAGGGCTGCTGGGTCAGCTCTTGTTAAGCAGGAGGGGGCTTGGGGCTGTGAGCAGCATTTCCTCAGTAAAACCTTCAGTTTCTAATCAGCAAACACCTCTCCTGCTGCCTGTGCTTAATTCAGATCCCTTTTTCCTTTCGAGCTTTATCGCCCCCCCCTCTCCCCAATGCGCACGCCTTTATTCCCTTTTATATCTTCAGCTCTGTTTTTTCTTTCTTGCTCCGCTGCCTTTGCAGTGCCCTCTGTCCCTGTGGTACAGCTGGGGTTGTGCATGGGGGCCTCGGTGGGTTTTAAGTGTGTGGAGGGAAGCCGAGCCGACAGATTTTACACCCCCAGCACCCCCTCCATATCTGATGAAGCTCTTGTTAATTTTGTTCTCCTAATGGCCCCTCCTTTGATTTACTGGGCTGTCTGAAAGGACTTAAAGCCCTCACTCCACTGACAGGAAATTGTTATTTTAACCTGGCAGGAAAGAATTAAAAATAAATAAACAAATAATTTTTGTTTGCCCTCCCCCCTTGAAGTTCTTTAAATTACTTTTAACTCTTTCATTTCCCAGGCAGCAATTCAGCAGGCACTGTTGAGGCTGGTGGTGTCAGTGGCTGCAGAAGTGTTGGGTGTCTCATAGTGTACCTGCCTTGGGGAGAGGAGGCAGCCCTGTGGCTCCCAGTGCAGCCCGTAGCCCAGGACCACCACCTCTGGGAAGGCAACTGGAGCTCCTCCTCTGCTCCACACCTCTGTTGCCTCTCCCACTGCAGCCCACTTTGGCGGTGCTTGCGGGAATGCGGGGTGGATGGAAAGCTGCCTGATAAATAAAGTTCCTTGCTTTGCACTACTGCAGGCTGCTTAAGGGCAGCATTTTCAAAAGAGGTCAGCTCCCATTTAGGCATCGAAATAAGTTGGTTGCCTATTCAGGAGAGCTCAGCATGTCAAGAACTGAATGCTTTTGAAAATCTGGCTTCAATTGTGGAAGCTGAGAATTTCGAAATCTGGCCCTGGATCCTAATAGTTCTTTTGGAATTGATGTTTTAATTCATTTTCCTCATTATTTTTATGCTGGTGATTTACTTTTTGTACTTCACTCAGCTGTGAAAGAAATGGCCACATGTCCCTCTTTTAGAGCTCATACTCTGCCTGGAGGTTTGGGGAGGTACCATACACTTGTTGCAACACACCTCTCCTCAGTCTCTGCTCAGTACTATTCAATCTGCTCAGGGCCATGGGCAAATTTTTTGATCTCCCCTTTTTTCTCCCCACCTATTGCACTTCATCTTTTTTTCAAGACTTGGGGGCAGCCAGTTTAGTTGTTGCATCGACGTGCCTGGGTGGTCCCACCTCAAGAAGGTCCATTACACGTTTCTGTGCTTTTGGCTTTGGCCTTCTGGCCAGAGCTTCTGTGTGACGTGTAGCTGCAGGGAGGTCTCTTTGGGAACGTCTTTGCCTGTCCCCTTCCTCAGCATGGGCTCCAAGGAGCAACTCTTTTCCATCCAACATTTTTTCCCTTCTGCTGCCAAACCCATCCAGATAGGGGGAATGAGTCAGCTTTGCTCTGTAGGCTTCCAGCACTGAGGATCAAGATGATAAGCCCTATCCCAAAATGTTTCATGTATGTTGGTGGAAGGTTTTCTATCTCCAGCAAACCTTATGGTGTGAGGTGGTTTTAAGCCTAAATTAACTCAAAGTCTTTTCCGGATGAGTGTAATCAGTGACACATCAACTTGCACATCAGTGATGGGGTCAATAGTGCATGTACTGGTACAGAGAGACCTCAAGTACTTTCATGGTTATGGTCAGTGATGGTTTGCCCACAATGGCTGTGGCATTTGGTGGCTATCTTACATGGAGAAATGAACTTGAGTAACTCAGATGGTCTCCCAAGTCAATAGCTAAAGGATCTTGTACAACACTATGTGCTGGTTGATGGGGGAAACTCTTCAAAGACAAATTGTTGAGACTCTCTCCTTGGGTGAGGAGAGTGAATGCTGGGAAGGATGCGGTGAATGGGAGGGAGGTTGCTGTCTTGTTGTTTTGGCACCTGGAGGTTACTCACAGAGGATTCGCACCTGTAACAGGGTTGTGGGCTGCAGTAGCTAGAGTATGAGTCTAGCTGATTTTCCGGGTGCCTTCAGAGTATGTCCAGCCTAATGCCCAACAGCCAAGCTCTGTTGGTGCTTCTGGCTCCTCTTGACATGGAGCCATGTTAAGTTTAACCTAATTTACCCTGCCTATCAGCAGGGCTTCTCATCTTGGCCTTGCGGCCACACTATCCATGACTGTGTGACTCCTGGGAAATAGCTGCCTTGTCCTGAGCCCCCTGCGCAGGCCAGACAAGCAAGCCCATGTCAGCCTGCAAAGTGCCTCGTAAAGATGCTCCTTGCAGTGTTTGCAAAGCTTCAGCTGCAGGTTACCTGGCATCGCTTCCTTTTGAAATCACCAGCTCAGAGGAGCCTTATCTCTTCTCAGCTTTATATGAATGTCTCCTCCATGACTTCTCCCCCAAGCAATGCTCTGGGGCATGGTGAGGGGAAAGGGGGCAGCTCGTGAGGCTGTCAGAGGGTCAACACAATTTGCAAAGATGCATGCAAGCTAGCTAGCTGGATTCTTGCTGTCATGATGTGGACCTCAGCATAGCTGACCATGGGTGTTGCCCCCTACTGCACTCTAGCACCTTTGCTCTTACTAGAAGCCAAGCAGAGTCATCTGAGAATAGCTTGGTGTGATTTTCTCAAATACTCTGGTTCCTTCCTAGGAACAACTCACTGAGAATCTCATGGGAAGTCTGTGGCTGTCCTTACTTCAGGAGTTGGGAGGTTTAATTTTGGAGGTTGTGCTTAAGGGGACTTGTCTGCTCTTTTTGACCGAGCTGGCTCTGGTAAGGACATGCTTAAACAGGTGATGGCTTGAGCAGTTACCACAGTAGAAGTAGGAAGTGCTGCTCTGCAGAGTCCAAGTGCTCTTGAGGATGGTGGTTGCGACTGGCCTCGTGTGTCTGCAGGGGGAGCAGGCAATATAACTGCTGTTTGGACTGGCTGCCATGGCTGGTTTGGGCTTGGGCTTCTCCCCTGCTAATATAGACCTGCCACAGGAACAATTCTGAAATGCCTTTCAGACTCACAGGTCATCTTAGTGCTGCAGCTGGAGAGAGCTAAAAGTCCTGTAGCTGAATTATGATGTCTGTAGCGGGAAGTCTCTTCTTGACTTTAGCCCTTTGCCTTTGGTTGAAGCTGCATTCAGCCTGATATCTGATGTGTCGCTTGAGGCAGCCCCCTAGATCTTTAATCCCTCTGACCTGGCCTGTCTGCTTTAGCGCTCATCCATGACAATCTCTCCAAAACAGCCGCTGCGGTGTGCAGCTCTTCACAGCAACCTGGGTTGTGATGGGTGGCCTTGGGCTTGGAGATTGTTGATGCTCTTGAGTATGAACTTGGTGGTTTCTCCAGACAGGGTAGATCAACTCAAAATAGGCAGTGTGTTTCAGTCAGAACAGTTCATCTGAAATCTTTCCATTGATTGGATCTCTTAGTTTAGAATAAAGGTGCGTTAGGCCAAATTAGTGTGATCTGCCCTCAGCTTACTGCACTGAATTTAAACAAATTTATAACTGGGAATTTCACAGAATCACTTTGGTTGGAAAAGCCCTTGAAGCTCCTCCAGCCCAACCATTAACCTCACCCTGACTGTTCCCAACTCCACCAGATCCCTCAGCACTGGGTCAGCCCGACTCTTCAACCCCTCCAGGGATGGGGACTCCCCCCCTGCCCTGGGCAGCCCATTCCAACGCCCAACAGCCCCTTCTGCAAAGAAATACTTCCTAAGAGCCAGTCTGACCCTGCCCTGGCACAGCTTGAGGCCATTCCCTTTTGGCCTGGTGCTGGTTCCTTGGCTCAAGAGGCTCATCCCCCCTCTCTGCACCCTCCTTTCAGGGAGCTGTAGAGGGCCAGGAGGTCTCCCCTCAGCCTCCTCTTCTCCAGACTAAACCCCCCCAGGTCCCTCAGCCGCTCCCCATCAGACCTGTGCTCCAGACCCTGCACCAGCTCCGTTGCCCTTCTCTGGACACGCTCGAGTCATTCAATGGCTCTTTTTGGAGTGAGGGGCCCAAAACTGAACCCACTCATCGAGGGGTGGCCTCACCAGTGCCAAGTACAGGGGCAAGATCCCTTCCCTGTCCCTGCTGGCCACACTATTGCTGACACAAGCCAGGATGCCATTGGCCTTCTTGGCCCCCTGGGCACACTGATGGCTCATTATCAATCCCCCCCAGGTCCCTCTCTGACTGGCAGCTCTCCAGCCACTCCTCCCCAAGCCTGTAGCGCTGCTGGGGGTTGTTGTGGCCGAAGGGCAGAACCCAGCACTTGGCCATAGTGAAACTCCCCCAGTTGGCCTCAGCCCAGCGATCCAGTCTATCCAGGTCTCTCTTTTTCTCCTGAAATTGTCCCCTCCAATTCAGAACAATTCCTTCCAGAGATGTGCTCAAAAACTTTTACATCTCCTAAGGAGTCACGTCTGGATTTCTGGATTGAAACACAGGTATGCCTGGTAGCCACGTGGCCAGCATCTCAGGAACACAGTGAAACTGCAGGTTCACCTCTGTTTTCATGTAGCCTGGGACTTGTACTACTCATTTACTTTTGTGTTCAGTCTAGAATATATTCCAGACCCAGCCAAGAAGTGGCAGCAACACTTAGTGAATATCTCCAGTGACTCTTTGTTGGAAATGTTTGTATTTTGCTCTTGAAAACTGCCTGGTGTGCATTGCTGGCACACAACAGGCAAGTCTGAAACAGGTAAGGGGATGTGTGTGTGTACACATGTAGATTTGTACCGAGAACTGAGGATGGGATGTCTTGGGAGACTCCCAGCCATGCCTGGGGAGAGGCTGGAGAAGATAAATGTTTGCTTCAGTGTCTGTGGCCTGCTCAGGCCACTGGCTTGGTGAATCCCTGGGAGTTCAGGAGTGTTGGTAGAGAAGTCAGGCAGGGCTGGAAAGCAGAGGGAAGTCTGAGGGTTTCATCCCTCGTGTCTCTTGTCATCCACAGGAACCTGCTGCCGCAAATCCACTGCATCCCCTGAGGCAGCTTATGGGACCCTTCCCTGGGCGTCCCAGGACACACTGCATGGGATGGCAATGACATGTGGAAAGAAGAGACCCATGTCCCCCATCCCTTGCCTCATCCTTGCAGCTGCTAGCTGTTTTGCCAAACTGGGTGAGTTTCTGTTTTTACCTATTTGTTCCATTTAGTTTCTGGTTTGCCTTAATGCGGTTTAATGCAGCCGTGTCTGAAGCACAAAGTGGTTTCCTCTCTTCACTGCTTTCTGAATATCCTTGACCAAAGGTCTAGGTTCAAACACTCCTCCAGAGGAGAAGGGGATACAGTCGGAGCTGGACGGCTCTGTCTGGCGATGCCGAGAAGAAATGGGGCTGATGTGTATCTCCAAGCACTAGGGTGGTGAAATGCTGGGGTTTCAACCCAAGCCCCAAATTAAGGTTGACATATGGGTGATTCCCACAACCCTTCACAAAGTGGGGGTGAGTTTACCTTTAAGCTTCCCTCCAGGATGTAGCTGGCCTTGCAGGGAGAGCCATTAGGTAAATGAGCCCCAGGTGTCCTGCATTAAGTAAGCAAAGGTCAGGTGTCACACTTAGGGATAAAAGCTGGGACCACTTGCAGGCAGGGGCAGTGTCTGTCTGTGAGGTGGATGCACTTTGCAGAGTTCCCTGTTGGGGAAGGGCCTCCTGTCTCCCTGGAACTGGGCTCCAGTCAGGCCTGGCTTTTGTAAACATGGGCTGTGTAGAGATTCAGTCTGTGGCTTCCTTGGTCTTATGTGTTTGGCTTGTTGACTTGGTTGTCTCCTATCCCTTCTATGGGAAACTGCATTTCACCATTTATTCCACCCATTGTTGGTTGTGTGGTGTTGTTGTTGGGGTCAGTGGGATTGATGTTGATTATGTATAATCTGGCTGACTTGTTTGTACCCCCTGAGCTCACCCATGTACTGACCCTTTTGTATCAAATACAATTTGGTTATTACTTTATCTTTATGCTGGCTGTGTCCTTTATGCTAGGCTTAATAACTGGCAAAACAGGTGGGTGTGTGGGGAGCTAAGGGGAAGCTGCAGCACAGATGGGAGCAACGGGGAATACAAAATGTACCAGCCCTGCATTTTTTTTCCTCTGTCTTTTTTTGTGGAATCTCACAGAGCTTTCCTATTCACACTTTTTTCCTCTGTGCAGGTGAATCTCTGCAGGTCACAGTGCAACCTGCCTCCATTGTCCAAAAGCTGGGGGGCCCAGTCAGCCTGGGGTGTGTGGTGGACCCCCCCAGAGTGAACCTCACCTGGAGACTGAATGGGAAGGAGCTGCCTGGATCGGATGAGGTGCTGGGTATCCACATCGAGCAAGGGAAACTTGTCATCACAGCTCTCAACAACCACACTGTGGGGCGATACCAGTGCATCGCTTGTGTGCCCGAAGGAATCATTGCCAGTGTCCCTGCTGTGGTCACATTAGCTAGTGAGTAGCTTTAGTCCTTTACCACCCCCTTCATTGCTTGGGCTATCACTTGTGCATCTTGAGAGGCTCATCCATGCTCGCTTGCTCACGTGGGCATCAAGGGAGAGCTCCTTTGGTTTAGGCTGTCTTGCAGTATTTTTAATCATGGACTGGCTGTCATGTTGTGGCCCAGCCATGACCCGAGCAGCCTTTCCGTGTGCTGGACTGCAGACCTGTCCTGCCGTGACAGTTTTTGCAAGATACAGAGAGCAGGAAATACCTGAACATTGGGATTTGTGTACATGGTTGGTTTCCTGACTGTTGTGCGGCCTCATCTCGTTGCTGAATGCTTGACTGAGGTTACCAAAAAGCACCTGCTGGGGCTGACAGCCAAACTGCTGCTTGGGCTGCTGTAGGGCTGTTGGCAGCCCTGGCTCAGTATATGTGAAGTTTTACTGCCTTCCTGACTCATGGAAAGTGAAGTCCCTTGCCCTGTTTGTGCTGTGATGGGAACTGCGCTTTTCTGTGTTGCCCCTGAGTTCGTCACAGCCAAAGTACCAGCCCCTACACTCACACTAAGGAAAGGTTAGTCTGATTGTGGTGAGGAGGTGATCCTGAGAATTTGCATTAAGTGGCTGGGGGTCCTCTGTGTACTATTGGAAGATCCCTTGCCAGAACAAGGTGAGGGAGAGGGATGGTGAGAGAATCCTCAGTCACTTTGCAGATGACACCCAGTTGGGTGAGAGTGTTGATCTGCTCGAGGGTAGGGAGGCTCTGCAGAGAGACCTGGACAGGCTGGAGCCATGGGCTGAGCCCAGCTGGGGGAGTTTCACTATGGCCAAATGCTGGGTGCTGCCCTTGGGCCACAACAACCCCCAGCAGTGCTACAGGCTTGGGGAGGAGCAGCTGGAGAGCTGCCAGTCAGAGAGGGACCTGGGGGGGATTGATAATGAGCCATCAGTGTGCCCAGGGGGCCAAGAAGGCCAATGGCATCCTGGCTTGTGTCAGCAATAGTGTGGCCAGCAGGGACAGGGAAGGGATCTGACCCCTGTGCTCGGCACTGGTGAGGCTGCACCTCAATAAGTGGGTTCAGTTTTGGGCCCCTCACCCCAGAAAGGCCATTGAATGACTCGAGCGTGTCCAGAGAAGGGCAACGGAGCTGGTGCAGGGTCTGGAGCACAGGTCTGATAGGGTGTGGCTGAGGGAACTGGGGGGGTTTAGTCTGGAGAAGAGGAGGCTGAGGGGAGACCTCCTGGCCCTCTACAGCTTCCTGAAAGGAGGGTGCAGAGAGGGGGGGATGAGTCTCTTGAGCCAAGGAACCAGCGCCATGCCAAGAGGGAATGGCCTCAAGCTGTGCCAGGGCAGGGTCAGACTGGCTCTTAGGAAGTATTTCTTTGCAGAAGGGGCTGTTGGGCGTTGGAATGAGCTGCCCAGGGCATGGGGGGAGTCCCCATCCCTGGAGGGGTTGAAGCTTCAGGTTGACCCAGTGCTGAGGGATCTGGTGGAGTTGGGAACAGTCAGGGTGAGGTTAATGGTTGGGCTGAAGGAGCTTCACGGTCTTTTCCAACCGAGATGATTCTGTCATTCTGAGAATGGTTGCATGGAGGTGCTGAAGGCAGAGACTGAGCTGTCTTGATTTTGTAAGGCAGGCACAGATCTCGATGGGAGGAGGATAGAGGAGAGCAGAGTACCTAAAAGCACTCATAATGAGGTTTTTTTTCTTTAAGGGGCAAGAGGCTGTATTCATTACCACTGCTGTGGTCCTGGGGTGGGGCATGCTCCTCCTTTCCAGTGCTTTGTCCTCTTCCTACAAGGCTGCAGTGGCACGGCAGCAAAGAGCCACAGCTCTGAGGTAGGGACTTTGTTCCTATCTCTGAGCTTACATACATGCTCCTTGCTGCTGTCCTCTGGCATTGGCCCCAGACCAAGGAGATGTGTGCATGGGAGGAGGTGTCTTACAGTGAGGAACTTCTCTTAGAAGCACCTGGTTTTGGCCAGATGTTCTGCTCAGATGTGAGAAAGAGCTGTATCTGGATGCATCTGAGAAAGGGCAGCCCAAGGCCTGCTTGGGGATGGGGAGGCCCTGTGTGGACCACCCTTGTTTAGGCAATGGAGAGGCTGATCATCTCAGACCCATGCAGTTTTTGGTGGAGCAAGTGTGTGCAGAGGAGACCACCATCTCCAGGCAGTGACAGCCCGTGGGCATGGAAAGGCCTTCATCTTCCCAGCCAGAAGGAGTCTTGGGGCTAAGTCTTAAGAAAACAAAGAAGTGGTGAAGATGTTTGTGCAAAGTGAGGGCTGGCTTTGCTTTAAAGCCAAGAGCTATTGGTTTGTTACTGATACATTAATCAGGAGTGAAATGTTTAGGCCAGTCTGGGTGGGAGGAGGAGATGAGGGAAAGAGAGGGGAGAGCTGCTGAGCTCTGAGTCAGGGTGGGAGGGGGTTTGGCCTGAGCCCCGTGCTGAGATTAAGTTTCGGAGAACACATTCCAGAGCAGAAAGGGGGCTGTGTTTGTGCTGGTGGCCTGATAGAGGGAAGGAGGGGAGAGGTGAATGGGATTACCAAGAGCATGGTTTGCATTTAGGAGAAGAGGGTGTACACAGCTCCTCAGCCTGATCGGTTCCTTCTTAGGCTGATCCCCTTTTCTTTTGTTTTCCCCCCTCATTCCAACCCACCACCAGCAGCTCTGTCTCCTGGGACAAAGCATGGCTGTTTGGCCTATCTGTCTGCTTTGGTCTAGCATTAGTGGTGGACAGGAGACAGGTCCTAGAGCACCAGAAAGTCCCACCGTGTCCCTCAGGGCAAATGAAAGCCGCGACTGTCAGGCCTCTCCAGGGGCCAAGTCACCTTCAGCTACCAGATTGCACTTGGGGATGCGGGTACAAAAGAGGGAGACTTGCCATTGCTGT